AATATTATGTAGAAAATATATAAAAAATATTAAATTCATTTCATGTTTTAAAAAATGCTATTTCAATCAGTATTTTAAGATAGCACTTTAAAAGAATAGTTCACCCAAAAATGAAAATTTGCTGAAAATTCATTCACCCTCAGGCCATTCAAGATGTACCTGAGTTTGCTTCTTCATGGGAACAGATTTGGAGAAATTTTGCATTACATCACTTTGCTCACCAATGGATCCTCTGGAGTGAATGGGTGCCGTCAGAATGAGAGTCCAAACAGCTGATAAAAACATCACAATAATCCACACGATTCCAGTCCATCAATTAACATCTTGTGAAGTAAAAAGATGCATGTCTGTAAGAAACAAATTCATTATAAAGGCATTTTAACTTTAAAACATCACTCCTGGCCAAAGTATGAGTCCAGAATCCATAATAACTCTTCCTCCAGTGAAGAAGTCCACCCCCTGTTGTCCTCTCACATCAAAATCCACTGACATATTTGTTTAGAACTATTTTGCACTGTTTTCACTTATCAACTATAGACTGCTTCACTTTGTGGGAGGAAATGCGGTAAACTTTCATTAGAAGTTGTCACACAGTCCTATTACTGAAATCAGATGGTTGCCAAGGAGCAGTATGTGAATCTAAGGTACATTGCTCCGATTCGACAATAAAGAGCAAGAGAGAGAAACTTTTCAACAGCTCATTAAGATACCACTAGATACATTAGGCTAAGGAGAGAATAAATATATACTGCTCATCCTTAATTATAATTAGATAGAGATGTTTCTGGGGTAAATAATCACTACATACAGTATGGCACAAATTGTTAGCAATAGGAGGAGACTCTGGTGCAAGCAGAGATAATTAAGTCTGCACTGCTTAAATAATTGCACAGTGGCTAACAGAGAATGCTGCTTTGCAATTGTAGTCCATTCAAATCAATGCAATTACATTAACCCAAGCTACATAGTTAACCCCTAACTTAATGTAGAACACAACTCCTCTACCCTTTATTATCTGCTTGTTCCTAAAGCGTGGGCCTTGATTTTATGCTTAATGTCATTTGTTTTTACCATTTTCTATTACAACTGTGGTTTTGCAATGCTTTATCGGTCTGCTCATTTGATTAAGTAAAACAGGGATATACAGTATTCCCGACCATTCATTCCGCAGTATTGTTAGGGCTGTATCCGAAATCACTTCCATTTACTATTCCCACTGTTAGTCCACTAATATATTCCACTTGAAGGAGTGAATGAAAGTAATTGAGCCGATTTGGATACTGAGTGCATTTCAGTCATTTCAATAATAATCCATGGGATTGGGAATTTCATGTGAGGACAAAAGATTTCTCCATGCAAATTTCGCAATGGGATCAAGATGGTCACACGAATTCGCCACATTTTTTGACCAAAAAAAAAGCTGCTTGGTTTGAAAGTGGCTTCTGTGTGATCATACATCACTACAATATTGACAATTTTTACTTGTGAAATTCTGTGAATATGACACCTTTATAGGATTATGTGTGAGCTGTCAGCTAGGACCCTCAACAAGGGAGGTAATAAACTATCATGTCTTTCATATCACTGCCACCATATCAGTTGTGGTGAAAATGAATATTTCAGTGTTCATCTTGCTATTAGGAGCATTCATGCAGCATCCCTGTGACCCTACAGAGGATGAGCAGTTTGGAGGATGGATGGATGGATTTGAAAATAATTTAAACTTAAATCATTATTTCATGTCGAAGTATTTACATGTAGTGGCCCTGATCACCCTCAAAAAAAAAAAAAAGCCCAGCTGACTGTAAATTATCTTTTACTTATTTGCTCTATATTTTGGATAAAGTGTACCTTAAACAACCTTTCTGAATGAAATTAGTACATCTCACTCAAGCTCATATCACACTACTTATAAGAATTAAAAAATAGCAAGTATGACCTTCAACCACTAGTATGGGCAAATTTCAATGGCTTTCTGTCAATCCAAACAGTCTTTCATTGTTTGGAGGGAGGATTTCAAATCCTGAGGCCTTCACATGCATGATATTTTCCCTCTGTGTTCCCAGATACAGATCCTTTGGGGATCCACATTGGTCAGTTCAATCTAACCCTTGTGCCCTGGGTTTTGCCCAGAGAGCTTTCTTAAACTAAAGTTAGCAGACCGCCAGAAAGAACAAAACCTATAACATTCCCATACAATGGGGCTTCAGCTTTGTCTTGTCACTGCAGGCTACGACTGCCACTCCAGCTGAGAGCAACGGCAATGACCTGACAGCCAATAAGCACTTTCGCCAGTTTCCTCTGCCTCACACGCAGGGGCCAGTAAAAATCGACAATGCCAAGGTGACACATTAAGCCCCATAAAAATATCTGTAGGCTCTGTGTGCTTTTTTACGAGCATTTTGTCGAGTGTTTACGGGCCTGATCTGAGATACTACATCAAATACATGGTACACTAAATCAAACGCGACTTTCGTCACCTTTCAGATAAAAGACACTGAGAAGAGTTGTAATCTGTTCGGTTCAAAAAGGACACGATAAGGTTATCAGACAGTGCAGTACCACCTCAAGAAATCGAGAAAAAGAAATAGGGCAAAAATCTGAATTTCAACCAAGATTGTGAAAAGGCAGAGAGGGGTGGGTTAAAAGGAGCATAGGCTGTTATGAAGGTTAGTGATTGAGGTTAGCAACTATGACAGGCCTATTAGCTCTAACATCTCCACCTGCTGACACATCACTGCCTAGCAGCAATGAGTGAATTAGATTTAACATCACATCCAGCCGCCACACATCTCCTGTCCCCCTCAACCCAAACCCGAATTACGAAAAGCACAGGTTCCAGCATCGGCGGGCTGTTTCTTTCTCCCGTGTGCAATAAAAGCTGATTAGAGTTGAAACAGTTGACCAGTCCTACCCTCTTTCACAGCTGCTGGATTAGAGGCTGAAGCCCATCATCTGTGAAATGAAATTTCAGATGGTCGAACAGGGACAGTCTGAGGTGCAGACTGTATGCATGCAACTGTTAGAGGGTTGAAGGGGCCACCAAGACACAATAAGCAAGGTCACACATCACAGCTAAAATGTTCATACGAACAAGATGATAACATTTAACAGTCATGTGGTAACAGGACACACTCTGCATTTAAAGGTATGAAGCCCAGTTGTTAGTAGTGACAGACATGGGTCCGAATCAACCGTGTCTCACACAAATATCACACAAATATGAAGATTCAGCGATTTCCTAACTGCTGATTTTAGAGCATCAGGCAATGGAGACACAAGTAGATTTACATTTAGATCAAAACTTAAAATCAATGTTCCTCACATAAAACTAAACTGCAAAATTGGTGTAGAAACTATTTTCACAGAAATTGCTAGTACATTTCATACAATTACAAAGAAACGGCAAGCAACATTGAATTAAACGTGGAATTTTGAAGTAGAAAAACTGAAATAGTGTTTTCTTGTAAAACGTACTTCAATCTTTTTTGTTTTGTTTGACTGACAACTTCGAAAAATACATTTTTACAGTGTAATGTTAACAGAAAAAAGTGGCACACATGCATACAGCAAGTCTACTCTTGAAATGTCAACATAATTCAAATCTATAAGGCTTCGGCTTTACCAGCTGTCAAGAGTGCCAAAACATGAATGGATGACAGTTGCAGGGTTGCCAGATCTGCATATCAAAAATCTAAAATTGCCCAATTAAACTATCCCAAATACAAAAACTTAAAATATGACATGCATATTTTACCATACCTGTCAACCCTCCCGTTTTTCCCGGGATTCTCCCGTATTTTTAATCTTTCCATAAAAATAAAAAAAATCCAACTGGGGTATTTTATATGTTTGCTACATTCGCTTCCGGTAAAAGCCCCGTAATTTGTATGGGCCAAACCTCATTATATGAATAATCACGACATACTGTATATTTACATGTATAATGAGATATAGCTTACACTTCAAAATGCTATTTAATTGATTAAATATGAGCCTGCAAGTTTCAAAGTCAGGTGCTGAGCTGTTTTGTTTACTGCGGTTGCGGGGGAAACGGCTATATTCCTGGCGAAAAGCGCCACCTGCTGTCAGACAATGAATTTGCATTTTTCAATAAGCCCTTCTGCTCCAAAGCCAAAAACGACCCTTATTTTTACGCAGGAAGTTGTAAATGTGAACTGGTGGATCGACAAGAAGATAATGAATTATAAAACTCTAAAGATATAGCCTACACTAAGAAATATTTATGTTACCAAATTAATGTAATTGTTTGATAATAATTGTTTAAATTAATATAAAAATAATTAATATTATTTTTAATTAATATTAATTAAATGTGGACGTATTAATGTGGACAGGTATGTATTTTAGTATCACTGTTATGCATTACCTACAATTTTAACTTGTAAACACTGTGCAGTTGTATACAGTATGTTTTCATTCATAATTTATTTACAGCAGATGAACGAATTCCTTCGGTGGGGATGGTAATCTTTTGTTTTAGAACTATTTGAAAATTAACTATTTACAGATTACAATCTAAAATTAAAATTTCAAGATATCACTAGCCGGTTTTTAATAGAAGTGTCTGTAGATGACATCATACTTTTTAATAACTAGCAGCAATCCAGTAGAGGCCAGTCAAACTGTTACCATGGAAATGAAAACAGCCAGGCTCCCTACTAGTGTCCCTCTTTCACAAAAATCTCTTTACTACGTCTCATCATCCAGCACAGTTTTATCATTGGTAGAATATAAATTGGATATAATGAAATACAGTATTTCTATGCAGACATTTCTGTCAAATATAGTCTAGACATTTAACCTGTGGGTGAAAAAAAATAAATAAAAAAATCAACCCGTGGCAACAGTTTAAATGTAGCCCATTTCCGTAGAAAACCTTGGCAACCTTGGACAGTTGTTCAAAGTGTCTTATTATTTTCCGCATTGAACCACCAAACTTCAATAATGAAACTCAATTTGTCTCCTAATGTATACTTGAATATTTTGGCCCTGGGTATATTGGTCACCTTTCACATCTTTCTGTACTTAGAAAGACTGTGATTTAAGAAAAGGAGGGTCCCAAACCTCCTGTCCTTGGATAAAATGTAGGGTCCTTGCCATACAGTGCATGTGTTATAACTGAGAGGGGGAATGATTTATTTGGGCAGGTCAGTACAGGTCACTGAGGCCTGCTATTTTCCGGGCCTTCTGCATCAGGGCTCTCAACTGGAACTGTTTTCTGGAGAGAAGGCGCACATGCTGCACACAAACACACACACAACAGACACTGTTATATATATTAACACACACTGTTAATATATATACAAATATTGTGCTTTACAGCTTACTCGACATGACAATGGTTAAAAATAAATAATGCACAGGGTACAGTTGAGACTAACCTTAAGAAAGACATCCAAGTCAATGACATCTTTGCGTAACGCTTCACCCAAGTAGAAGATCGTGTCTTCTATGGCGTTTTCTTCAGCGTAGAGGTTCAGAATCTGCTTATAAAGGGGAGCAGTGGGCACAATCACATCATCAATATCATTGTTCTCAGACTGGTTCTCCATTTTTCCCAGAGCAACAGTCAGCTCCTCATCTTTCTGCTTAAGGAGATCAATGTTTTTGTCAACATCAGCCTGCAATTCAATGGAAAGAACATTATTATTATTAGTATGTATTTTATAAAATATTAAAAACATTGTTTCCAGGCTGATACCTTGTTAAAAACAGTGACTTACTAGAAAGTATATATACAGTAGAGTTAAAAGCATCAGTCACTATTAGCTCAAGTATCAACAAGGCAACAGGGTACAATTCAAAATTTATAAAACGTCTCTTGTACCATCTCCAGGTCTAGTTTGGTCACCATCTCCTCCAGCTTCTGGTGGCCTCTCTTTAGGTCCTCCTCTGTCCTTTTCAGTGCATCCAGCTCTGCCTGTGCTCGATCCATCTCTTCTTTCATCCGCCTGCGCAACTTGTCACTGACTGCAGACACCAAAGATGCACGGATTGTGTCCTCCCCGATGGTACCGTCACGGGTGGGTCCTGAAACAAAGCAAAAATGTTTGCAGGTGTTTCAAAGTACAGTTTTTTTGTATGGGTTTATGTACACTACTGTTTAAAATCTGGGTCGGTAAATTTTCCAGTATCCAATGTTCACTGAGGCTGCATTTTATTTAATCAAAAATACAGTAAGAACAGTAATAGTGTAAAACATTTTTACAACTTAAAATAACTATTTTCTTTTTTAATATGTTACTTTTATATTTCTTCCTGCATTAAATCTCTTCATCGTTACTCCAGTCCGCAGTATCACATGATCCTTCAGAAATCATTCTAATATACTGATTTGCTGCTAATGAAACATTTCTTATGATTACAATTAAAAACAGTTGTGCTGCTTAATATTTTTCTGGAAAATGTGATACATATTTTTTGGGTTCTTTGATCAATAGAAAGTTCAAAAGAACAGCATTTATTTAAACTGTTAATCGCTTGTAACATTATCAATGCCTTTACTGCCACTTTTGATCAATTTAATACATCTTTGCTAAATAACAGTATCAATTTCATTCACAAAAAAAAAAAATCCTAATGACACCAATCTTTTGAATAGCAGTGTACTTGATTTTGAGTTTAGAAATGCATGATTTATTAGTCTCTTACTAGATTCTTGATTTCACTACTAATTTAACATGTAAGATGCTTGCTCACCCACTGTAGTGACAGAAGACACTGGGGTAAAGAGAGAGGAGCCTGAGGTAGTGGGGTATCCAGAGCCTACTGCAGGATAAGGGTAGCCCTGAAATCCACTGACAGACAGAAAAAAAAAAAATAACAATAATAAATATATATAATATACAGTAAAATTTCATGTTAGTGATCAAGCCTGTTAGTGATCAAGCATAGTTAGAACTTTTTCTTAGTTGTAAAAGTGTTGCTAAACGGCACCAAAAATGACAAATTTTACATGTCCTTTATCTTAGAAATATCTATAAAATATCACAAGAATGCAATTAATTATTCGAAGAAGGAAAATACAATTCTATTCATTATTATGTTCATTATACGAACTCTCATTACCCTTGCATGAGCAAGGGTAAGCCTGGTTAAGCCTTCATTCCAAAAAAAGATTGAATGCATCAGTGTACATCTATTTAGAAAATGTATTGCGAATGAAAGACAAGTTTGTTCTTTTCCTCCTATTCTCTTATGGAAATGCTGGAGATATTCACTCAAACCTTGTATTATGCTGCAGTTTGCTAATTCTGCTTAATAATACATTTCTACACACATTCTTCACATTGTTTCATGTATGCACAAAACTAGCTTTGAGTGTATCGCAATTTTCACAAGTCTGCCAGAAACTTGTGGTGCTTTTACCTGTGTGTATTTAGATTTACAGACTGCTGCCTAGTATAAAAATAAATGTTACTTTGCAGAAAAATGCATGCTTGACATTTCTCAACTGCTTGTTATCTCAGAGCTACAGTATTACATGCACAGATATAAAATATTATATCTGATATAAAATATTAGATATGAAATATTGTGCAATAAATGGAGAATTGGAAAGGAGTGTTTAGACATAGGTCAGATGACCAGATATCAGATATGTATTGGATTTAGAACCACATATGAAGCCAAAATCTTATGTTTTTTTTGCTGTCTAAATGCAGGTAACAAGATCTGATCTGTGGCAGATGTCTGAGAAAAGCACTACCGTTCAAAAGTGCAGCCTTATGCTCACCAGTGCTGCATTTATTTGAACAAAAGTACAGTAAAGCGTATTTGAATATGATTACAATATAAAACAACTGTTTTCTATTTTAATATAGTTTTAAAACAGCTGTGCTGCCTAATATTTTTCTGGAAACTGTGATACATTTTTTCAGGATTCTTTGATGAATACAAAACAGCATTTATTTGAAATAAAAATATTATAAATGTCTTCTTTACTGTCACTTTTGACAAATTTAATGTATCCTTGCTGAATAAAAGTATTAATTTATATATTTAAAAAAAAAAAAAAAAACGTACTGCTTTTGAATGGTAGTGTATACATGTAGGAATTGAGTTGATCATATGGCGATGATTTGTGATTGGCACACTGAAAGCACTTACCCTGGATTGGCAGGGTGACCTTGACCATAAGGCAACCCTGGTGTGCTTGGCATGTAAGAAGCTGGAAAAACATTGAGTTATATAATTATTGCTGATTCCCAAAGTCAAAATGCTTATACAAATGTTACATAAACCTTAAAATGTTTTCTATGAGATCAAAAATATTGCATTGAATCGAAATGATCAGACGCAAGTCTACACTCACTGTTAGGTGGGCCTGCAGCTGGGAATGCTGGGTAAGCTGCCTGAGTGGTGGGCCGTGAGAAAACTGGTGGTTCCTCTCCAAACACCACAATCATCACCTGGATCAGTCCTAACAATTCAGACTGGGGCTAAAAAAAGACAAAAACAAACAAAAGATAGGTTTATGTTGTCCTACATTAAACAGACAAAGATAAAAAATAAAAAATAAAAAAAGACACTCACAGGTTTCCATTCATGCAGATATGGGAGGTAAATCTTTCCATTGGCATCAACATGTTTCCCTGTTTTTATCATCATGGCACTTGTGGGTTTGACAAAACAGATGGGAGGGTTGTAGGGGTACGTGTCCAGAAGCCACAGGCAGATGGGAATGTTGTACACATTTCCTATAGACGAGGAAAATATTAAATAGGGAAAAGGGTCCAACATAAAGAAATGACTCATCTGGATACAGCTGGATTGCTAAATGGGTCTGAGGAATGGAGAAACTCAAACACTTCTTGAAAGCAGTGCTGTCTATACCTCGGTAGTTTACTGGCACTGTTCCTGTGAGACTCAACAGCTCTTTGGTGGAGCCATCATTGAACACTGAAATAAAGAAAACAAAATGAGTGCAGGGCACTACATACCTGTATATTTACAGTACGATGGAACTGATATCATTCAGAAAAATCAGAGGACTAGACACGACATTTACACAGCTTGTAGCAGAGTTTATTCATAACACAAAAAATACTTGACGTATGTTTAAAGCAATCATATGGATTATTGTGATGCTTTCATCAACTGTTTGAACTCTCATTTTGACAGCACCCAATCACTGCAGAGGATCCATTGGTGAGCAAGTGATGTGATGCAAACCTACATCTCGGATGGCCTGAGGATGAGTACATGTTCAGCAATTTTTCATTTTTGGGTGAACTATGCCATTAAGTAAAGTACATGTTAAAAAAAAAAAACATAAATAAATAAATAAATTAGGGAAGAGTGGGGTAAGTTGTGTCATGTCAAGGGTTAAACTGAGACCTTAGGGGGGAAAAAACACTATGACATTCCAGGGTTTTGCTTGGCAGCACAATTTTCTGTTTCTTCAACATATCTATAAACCACTCATAAGAAGGTGTAATATTCACAATACTTCAAAGCGGTGCAATATATATTTTTTGAAGGAAATATTATACTATTCCCTCTTTGAAGTTTCACAAACTTCTTTAATACAAAATTTTGTGGGAAAAATCCTTGATCATTTACTTTGAAATGTGGGGTTCTCTTTGACAGTACTCCTTCATATTCTTTAAACATCAAGCTACAATGAGACTTATGTAACAGTATTTCCTTTCTGAAGCATCTGACACATATTTCTCTACAGCTACCACTTTAGGAAATATGCTGTATTTAATCATTCATAACCAATATCTGAAATAATTTATAGAATTTGCTTTGAAATAAAAATAATTTTAATGTGGCATGTCAAAAATACACTGACATGCCAAACTTTTTTATTTATTTATTTAAAACAAGCTCGTCACTTTTCTTACATGCACCTCTAACACATGACATGTGTTTGATGGGCCCTGTCTAGATAAAGCCATATGAAAAATATGTAGGTTTGCTAGATTAAACTCATCTCTCTCACCTACTGTACATCCAAACATCACAATGGTTCAAAAATGTAGCAACATTAACGCTGAACCAGTTTTGAAAACAATGTCAACTAACTGGTGTCAAGCTAATTTTTAACTGCGGTCAAGCCAGCCGCGCTTTGAAAATGCACGGTCAAGCCAGCCGCATTTTTTTTTTGTCTTGCGCGTGTAGTTGTGTACTTACGGTACGGGTGCTGAGAGCAGTCAAAATGCATGTAAAGAAGCTGTCATACCGACGGTTCCTTTATAATTAGCTTACCGGTATTTTACATTTTATTTTTAGTTTGTAAATACATTATTTTTGTACATAAACGTTTGTATTGTACATTAATTATTATAAATAATTTATTAATGTTTATAAATGTTCATATTAATGTTTTATATTCATTGTTTTTTTTTATTTAATGTGTGTGTATGTGTGTATATATATAAAATATATATATATATATATAAAATATATGTATGTGTGTGTGTGTGTGTGTATATATAACAACAAAATGCGTCCTAGCACTTCCACTGTGTCCAATAATCCAACACTCATAAAAAGTGTTCCTTTATAGGTTAGCTCATTCTTTCAATTGATATGTGTTCAGAGTGAGCCTGACTATCACTGTATGTATGTTCAAGGCATTTTACTGTATAGTTTTGGAGAAAACTAACGGCATTTTACTTGGAGAAAACTAAAAGCAAAATCACCCCAAACAACAAAATGCGTCCTTGCGCTTGCACTGCTTGCACTGGCACAGAGAGTTGGTGAAAATCGCTTTTATTGGTTGTAAATTAATCATTTGGAATGGATCTGAGCTCACCTGCATCCCTCTGATAAACAATCACCTCCCCGTTTGCCAAGGACACAAACACTTTGTTGTCAAGATACCTGGAAATAAAAAGAGATGTTCAGTCTCCATGCCGACATTGCATAAGTTACCATGGTAACAGATCAATGAGGCGGAAGCTGCTTACAGGATACACAGGATAGAGGCAGAGTGCTGCATCTTCATGCTGTTCTTCCGGTTTCTGATGTTGTCTGATGACTGGTACACATGAATACTGAAATAGAACAGTTATTATTACAACATGATTATGCTTATGAAATACATCATTTTTTTCTTGTGTGTTTACTGGTAATCACGAACTTAAGTTACACTAATGTTCAAAAGTCTGGGGTCAGTTTTTAATGTTTTTGAAAGTCTCTTATTCTCACTAAGGCTGCAATTATTTGATTAATAATACAATAAAAAAAAGTGAAATATTATTACAATTCTAGAGTTTTCTATTTGAATATATTGTAAAATATAATTTATTCCTGTGATCAAAGCTGAATTTTCAGCATCATTACTCCAGTCTTCAGTGTCACATGATCTTCAGAAATCATTCTAATATGCTGATTTGCTGCTCAAGAAACATTTATGATTTTACTGTCCCTCTTGATCAATTTTATGAATTCTTGCTGAATATAAAATATTACTGACCCCAAACACTTAAACGGTAGTGTATTTGGTAACACTTTACTTGATCTTTCTATACATAACGGATTATAAACGTGTTGTTAATTTGGGTTGGGATTTCAGAATCAGTTTGTTAACATTGACTTGAATTGAAATAAATTGGCCCAAAAGACATTCATACTTCCATCTTACTCACAATACGGACACATGATCAACACCTGTGTAATGTCTGGATTTCAATGCATTTTAAAGGTATGCTTTACAATGGATTTTAACTGCAACTAGAACTATTTACGAAATAATATAATGCAATAATATTATTAGGAATTAAAATGCATGATATATTCAGGCATCAAATCAAATGCTCTCTAAGACATCTGACTTGTTTTGTTTGTTTTGACTCTCAACTGGCAGTGAGGCAAGAGCAAATGCTGAGAGAGAGAGAGAGTAAATGTATGCATGGAAAGTGACAGGATGCACTGAGGACACAGGCAGGTCTGAGCTTGAGATAATGAGAGTCTCTGTGGGAACGTGGTAAACGGGTGTACTGTAGTCAGATCAGGGTCACCTGAGGTGAGAATTAAACCCCAAACAGAAGGAGCAGCAGGGGGGTGTTTTGCACAGCAAAATGTGATTACATAATTGCGTGTTACTATCGTTCATTTTTTAATTAGGCCCATGGGCTTTAAATGCTGTCTAAACACAAGTTTGAACACTTATAATAACTATCAATAAGTACATTAACAAACATTATCACATTATATAACAGATCATTAATTTTCCATTCAAACAGTCAGAACTGTCATGAAAACGAATTTCCATTTTTGACTGATATAAATGTATTTTTCAGTATTTTTACTTAATTTTTTGATAAATGTTTACACACACACACACAATAAGCATTTTAATAGTTTTATTGTTATTTATTATATATATTTCTTTTTCTTGTCATTACATTTCATATATATATATATACATACACACACACACACACACACACACACAAACAAACATTAAATTAAAAAAACTGGATATAAAACATTAATATTAACATTTATAAACATTAATAAATTATTTATAATAATTAATGTACAATACAAACGTTTATGTACAAAAATAATGTATTTACAAACTAAAAATAAAATGTAAAATACCGGTAAGCTAATTATAAAGGAACCGTCGGTATGACAGCTTCTTTACATGCATTTTGACTGCTCTCAGCACCCGTACCGTAAGTACACAATTACACGCGCAAAACAAAAAAAAATGCGGCTGGCTTGACCGTGCATTTTCAAAGCGCGGCTGGCTTGACCGCAGTTAATTTTTAGTGGATGTCTGAAGTCAGTTCTTCTCAAGTTTGCACAGCTGACACATTAACAACATATTCCAACTTATGACAGCCACAAAGTGTCCAAATACTTTTGTTTTTATTTTTAGTAATATAGTTGTATTTGGAAAAAAAAATGTGGTTGAAGTTTGGAGGCAGATGAAGTCTTACCGTAGTTGTCCATCACAGGTTTAAGATCTGTATAGTGAGACGCGACGCTTGTTATGTCGCGTGAGGTCAGATCCCTGTATTTATAAATCTGTGTACACAGAAAAACATCACCCATATGACGACAGATATACTTTGTAAACAGCTTCTCTGGTATGCAAGTATTTAACGTACCTTCGACAGCGTTTTCCTTAGGGAACTTTCGATGATTGCCGCCATGCTTAAAAAGACTATGAACCAATGTATTACTTAAAACGACTGCACAGCATTTATTAGCTAAATTATGTAGTTGTTGTTAAGGACGTAAACTCATAAAAATCAAATCATCGCATCCATAACAAAGGAAATCACGGCTGAAATGCAAGAAGTCACTTCCGGTCAGATGACTGATGACGCAGACGCTATCGTGTGCGTGTACTCTTTGCTTAATTTTTTAACTTTATAAATTCATCTTTAGGATATAGTAACCAAGTAATATGTGATTTTTAAAATGTTTAAATATGCAAATGTAAAAAGGATGCTCAGGAAATCAAAACAAACCTCTTTATTTGATATTCTTTCTTAACAGAATAATAACGGTAGGCACAAATCTATAACATATTGTTAAAAGGAAATTCATTGTTGTCTTCACACACTATAGACACAAAAATAAGAACATGTTCTTAAAAATACTCATATCTTTAAGTATTAATTGCTGCAAAAACCAATATGATTATTTAATACCAGAACCGACACAGCCTTTTGGAACGCTAACGCTGTGTTCTACCATTTCTTTTCCATAAAAAAAAGAAAGAAAGAAAACATAAAAATTATTTAGCAGCAGTTGGCGTACGACAAGTTCAAAACAGAATAACATTGGACAGGTCACGTGTTTGTGGATTTTTTTTTTTTTTACATAATGTTTTTTTACAGAGTGTTAGCCTACGAAAAATGGCCAGTAACCAATAGTATTGATGTAAAACAATATTCGGTAGCTAAGTGGAAGCAATCTCGCCACCTGACAAACCCACATTACTCTGTGGCAGCATAGACAGTAAATCTATCAAAAAGATCTGGATGCCTACAGCATTCTGACAGAATCCCCTGAAGGTCATATCCATAGCTACTGACTTGTGATTTAAAGGGAGAATCATATCCGTCCATGTCTTGAGAACAATCAATAGACTGTCAGGGAATAAAACACCAGAATCCTTACAGAAAAATCATCAAATTTCAACCAGAAAGAGAATACTCACTACTAGTCAAAGACATGTTATGATTTAAGTAGCCTAAATGAACTAGAAAGATCTTTGTTGAGATTTAAAATCTGTACTTTGCAAAGAGACATGAGCTACTTTTAAGCAATCAAAAAAGAGAAAGTCCAGACTGTGGCTCTTCCCTGCAATTACAAGGCCATATGTTGCCTATGAACATATAACTTAAAGTTCCCTCATATGATAATTTACAGTAATGGTATACAGTCAATCAGTTTTTTTTTTTTTTTTTTCATTTGAATTCCACATTTAAACCTAAATCTTCACTCCCTAATGACACAAACATGGAATATTTACTTCAGAAAGGCATAAGGGGAAAATGCAGTTGAAGATTAGACAATATGGTATACATGTAAAAGTTTCAAGCTTATGCCCTGAACATGGGAACAGCACAGTACTTGGCAAGTATATCAAAAAGGCTTTTCAGTCCAAGCTTTTAAGTTTATAGTAGCTTTGCATTCATTTTCCAACAAGTATGATTATTCTTTGAAGAGATCTTCATTAATCTGTCTTCTTTAGCCAATGCAATTATCTGCAATGCATTTGTCTAATATCGAAAAATAAAAAGCATCACATCTGGATATCTAATCAAGCCACAATTCAAAGACCACGAGGGCCATTCAAAACCAAAAGCTAACAAAGAATAAAGTCCTCCGCTTTAAAATTTTGTCCTACAGCATGTGCAAATCAAAGACTTATCGGAGGTGTACCCTCTAATCGCAATCTATTGCACCATAACCTCTGATAAACACACTGCATATGACTAAAAGTCCTCTTTGCAAGAGAACGCCATGAATTGTGTACATTTTATTAGGTTAGACTTGCTCTAAGCAACAAATCTTTCTCACATCTAGACGTATGCTAATATAACTGATGTAGTGTTTCTCATCTCCATCTCGTAAAGTGTTTTTCTAACATCCACATTTAACAAAGCAATATGAGAGGTTATTTTCTGAGCTATTACTTCCAGTTAAGAGTAGATAGTTTGTTTAATGTAAATATATTTAAGGGTGACAGCTTCATCCAGTTGTAGCAACTCCAGTGTTGAGACTGTTAAAATGAGGTACAACTTATTTCATCTCCAATGAAGGAGCAAGACGGGAGCATCCCTAAGAAGAAGGGCTGCCAGAATAAAGATTTCCCTTTTACACAGTCTGCTCTAAACGTCCAGCATCTGTGTAGGTGTTGCAGTGTTTGTGGTCTGGAAGGCTGCACCGCTCTAAAAGCCTCGTCATGCACATTCACTGCAAAGACAAGGGGAGAACTGAGTACACATGAGCAGCAGTACACAATGGCTTAATTATCCAGGAATACTCGTATGTTTAATTTATTGAAAACCATATGAATATATACTAAGCTGCATGATTTTTAAAACGTTTACTAGCATACAGAATAAAAAATGTTTACCAGATCATGACACCACACAGCGGCAGTTCATACAGCCTTGACCATTGTCATCTGGCGGGTTCAGTTTCCTCAGCTTATGCTGCCTGATTTCACGGACAAGAGTGTAAAAGGCATCTTCCACTCCCTGAATAGAAACACACACACACAGGTTTGTTTTTCTGAATTGTGGGGACATTCCATAGGCGTAATGGTTTTTATACTGTACAAACCGTATTTTCTATTGCCCTACACCAACCCTACACCTAAACCTACCCCTTACAGGAAACTTTCTGCATTTTTAGATTTAAAAAAAAACTCATTCTGAATGATTTATAAGCCTTTTGAAATACGGGGACACTCAAAATGTCCTCATAAATCACCTTCTCGTTGTAATACCTATGTCATACCCATGTCATTATACAAATTTGTGTCCTCAAAAATCACAAAATCGTGCGCACGCACACACACACACACACACACACACACACACTAATTAGGGCTTTTCTTCTTACATTCTGGCTGTTGGTAATAGTTTAACCTGAGCTATACATGCCACCACACTCGTATAAATAAAAGGTCCAAAATGTTTTTTTTTTGTAGTGATGCAATATAAGAACCAGTTCTTAAAAGGGACATCGGATGCCCGTTTTCCACAAGTTGGTATGATTCTTTAGGGTCTTCATGAAATGTCTGTAACATACTTTGGTTAAAATTCCTCAATGGTCATGTAAAACAACACCCTTTTTACCTTGTCAAAAACCTGAGCTGGCAGACACACCAGAAACCTGACAAAATGCAAAAAAAAAAAAAAGCTAAAAAAGTGAAAATTTCATCCTATGTCCCCTTTATAAGAATCATTTGCTCTTTGCATGAAAAACATTTTAATATTCTAAAGAACCCTTTGTGCAATGGAAAGGTTCCATGGATTTTAGATGCCAAAGAACCTTTGTACAAAAATACATAAAGAGTGCAATGTACAAAATGAAATTAGGGCAGCTTGATACTTGACAGAATTTTATAATAAAATGTTATATAACAGAATATATTTGGTCAAAATGTTTCTAACCTGTCTTGTCTTGGCTGAGGTTTCAATGTAGGGTATACCGTAGCTACGGGCGAGTTCCTGGGCTTGTCTTGTGTCCACAGTGCGCGCTGGTAAGTCACATTTATTACCCACAAGCACCATAGGCACATCATCTGAGTCTTTAACCCTCTTAATCTGTTCCCTTTTAAAAGCAACAAAAACAAATACATAAATAAATAAATATATATATATATATATAAAAAAGACTTGGTATTGTTGATGGCAAAGACACAGAGAAAGCCCTCTCCGGTCCTCATGTACTGGTCTCTCATTGCACTGTACTCTTCCTGACCTGCAGTATCCAGGATATCCAACAGACACGTCTCTCCATCAATCACCACCTGTTTCCTATATGAGTCCTGTGAGGAAGAACAATGCATAAATATCCAATGTAAGATGTCCAATGCCTGTGAATTCTCTTACCGCTAAATTGACATTGCAACATATAATGAAATGTATTCTATTACTGATAAAAGAAAGTGGAAACTGTAGCCTGTTTGGCCAAAACGGTGGGAATGTTTTATCCACAGATGACATTTTGATGTTCCATATTCATATAATATATCTGAAATTAGGGAACTTTATTCTGAACTGAGGTCTATTAAATTAAAAATAAATGAATAAATACTTATTAAATAAATTATTAAATATGAGACAAAGGTAAATGACAGAAAATACCATGCTGACATTTGGTTTACCTCAATGGTTGGGTCGTATTCATCAACAAAGTGGTTCTGAATGAGCTGGATTGTCAGAGCACTCTTGCCCACACCACCTGCACCAACCACCACTAACTTATATTCCGTCATTCTCACTGCTACTGTGTCCGAAGCTGAGGGAAAACAAGGAACAAGGAAATTTGAGAAAATAAAGAATTTGGGAAAATTCTGAATAAATCATTAAAGGTCTTACACTTGAAACAGTCTGTTGGACAAATTAAAATGAGCTGACAAGGAAATAAGACTCTAAGTGAAAACAGTAAAAAAGGGAAGCCAGTCAACATCTATATAAAGTGTACAAGAGTTTCCTGGAGTGAAGCACTCATCCTGCCGACAGTATTTAATACAGATGAAATTACCCTTGTGTCGTGTGATGTGACACAGGACAAAAAGAAAAGCTATTTTAGGCTGCCAGGGGAAACTTACACAGGGCTTTTCCTGACAGTGATCTATTTGTTATTAGTTAAAATGCTTGGTGCAGTGTGATTTCATTCTTTCCAAGGTTATTATACCTAAACAAACCTAATAAAATAAAATAATAAAATACGGATCCTCAGGAGGTGAACTTCAAATAATCTACATATAATAGAGTACCATCTATGGATATCCTCATCCTTTTTTCCTGAATATTTATCTGAAAATATTTCCTAAACAATTTTTGATATTTCCTTACATATGGAGCAGATAACATACCTATAATATTTAAATAACCAAATATAGAGTATAAAAAAGGTTATTAAACAATTCTGTTATTTGCTATGGAGATCAAAAGGAATTATGGGTCATCTGAATCATTGTGCATATTTAAAAAAATATATCAGTCAAGCCATCAGGTTCAGCTGTGCTCAATGGACACAGCATCAAGTATTCCATTTGAAAATCTATTTTTAGCTCTTGCACCTGTCATGTAGCCCTACCTGTAATTTTTTTT